ATCTCATCGTCTCTCTAGCAACCATTGTCGGGAATCGGTTTACCAAACATTACATTCAGGTTATAAATAACAGGGGGTCATGTTAACAGTCAGGTTTAAAGTTTAATTTTCAGGTTTGTCATAAATGCTTAAAACGTATTTTTTGTACTGCCAAGGATGTTTAGTGGGTAAACATGAATCTTTTGGAATATTTATATATTTTCATATGTTTCAGTGTTAGATAATAATCATAATAATTCGAGGTTCTTATAAACCGCTTTATCACACCCTTGTAGGTCGTCTCAAAGCGGTTCATAAATTATTATCCTGGAATAAAGGGCCTTTGCAACCGGCTAATATACTTCTCAACTCCCTGGGGAGTAACAGTCGGTGCTGCCAATTCGGTGCTCATAGCTTACATTTAACAGTTCTAGCTCTGCCCAACCACGTAATCATTTACAGCTGAGTAGACTGGAACAAACGGAGTAAAGCATCTTGCTCAAATATACAACGCAGTGCCGTGACGTGAATCGAATCCGCTCACGAGCCCGGCGTCCTACATGTACCACTAGACCACCGTGCCTCATAAATGGACTTTATTTCCAAATTAGGGCCTTTTTGAGCATCACACTCAACAATCATATTTAAAATATGTGAATATTATCATATCGCTGCTCAAATCATCGTTCAATTATAACATCATCTTCAGAACTGTATACATGCGTCTTGGTATTGTATCCGCAATAATGGATCACCATAATCCTATTTAAAAGATGTGATCTGTTCTCCTCAATATACATTAAAACTTAAATGGGCATACTGTAAACATGTTCTGACTCTAAAATAGCACTTGAATAGATACTATATATTACTTTTCTGATTGGCAGATTAATTTCGCGCTGCTCTGGGAACACTTCCTGATATAATTTTTTATCGTGTAACTACATATTTAAAAGGAATTTTCCTTTGCAACACTTTCCATATTTTTGAAATTTATTTCATATTACAATGAATCAAATAAATATAAAGCTATGAAAAAGTAGAAACACAAAAATGAAGAGATGCTCATAGACACGGAAACCCAATATGGGGTCTCCTGTGAAACCAAACACATCTGCACACAGATATTTTGTGATCATAACACCAACCATTCGTTTAAAGGTTTTATATAGAAATGTTTGACACACTGTATATATTTCAGTGGCGGGGACATCTGTAGTGCATGCTTTTCCAGGAGTTACTCTACACAATTCAATGATCGTTATCAAAAGGTGTTGTTATGTACAGCACGTCCCTCTGATACGTTCCCTGTCTCGCTCGGCGTAAATAATAGATCCATAGAGACTCCAAATTGCGTTGGATGAATACATCAGATAACACTAGAACAATAGAATTATCACGGATCACATGCTACGCTATCATCATGTGTATTTTGCGCAGTAAATATAGCGCTATCGCCTTCCACCAAGACGGCGGGGGTTCGATTCTCCGAAGGTATGGATCACCTATCCGAACACACGAGTTTCTCCGGTTACACTGCGCGCTACCATCCGGGCCAACAAAATTGATCTAAAATAGATAAGTTTATTTTGGATGTATCGGTAACACTGAGTTAATAATTGCCATGTTATTGGAAAGCTTTCACTTTTTTAATCTAATAGAATAACCGGCATTCCCAAATTGACCGTACCTGATTGTATTGATCTTACCACTGAACATTTCTCATTCCAATCCAACATGTAGAATACATTCCTAGCTAACGTCAGTGTACCCAAATTTATACCCATTTCCAACGTTTACCTTAATTTCTGATTTGCTACTTGATGTTTTCCAGATCTTTGTTTTATTTTGACAAAGAGTGAATATGAATTCTTGTCCGCGCGTTGGTTTGGTTTTTACAATGTCTGTGTTTATTAATAGAACGGTAAATATTACATTTAACTATGTCGTTATATATTTGTTAGAGTTTTGAAATAGATATTTTCCAAGAAAGTTAGCAATTCACGATTTAATACGTTGTTGAGATGTCAGATTGAGTAATTAAACAATACTCACGCAGGCACGTATACCACGGTAAGAGACGATTGAAAAACGTAGGTCCCTTGTCATTTGCATCCGTTGTTTTTCTACTTGACATACATATTAAACAAATATGATTTACGTGGTATACCTTGTGATACAAAGGCCAGTAAATTACACCGTATTTAAATGTGTTTGTTTGTTTAGGGTTTAATGTCTTGTAACAGCTAAGGTCATAAGAAGGAGTCTGGTGTTTTCGGTAAGTATAGTAAGCTCGCCGTAAGGTGGTAATGTTTCAAGTGTTTCTTATAGAGTTATCCTCTATATTATCGGTTTTGTTTTGAAAGTTGTTTAGAAACAAAAACTACATCACATCATCAATAAGAAGGTTCCTCGTATCATGCACAGTATATTGATTATTTGTATGTTTTTTGCAACCCCATTTGTACCACCAATCTAAAAATGTTGGCTGAACTCATGTTTACTTGACCAGTATGTTTGTTATGCAATCCGTGCGATTACACGACTTTTAATGTACTCGTTAGAATGGCATCGATTAACAGTAATAAATTTGCGGTGCTACTGATACCATTGTTTTAGCAATAAAATAGACAATAATCATTAAAATTGATTTCCGATATGGATGAAATAAGCGTCCACGTGGAAGTTCTTAATGACAACACATTATTAATAATATTTCATTCTTAACGGCCCTCCAACACAGGAGAGTTGATTTGGGCCAAGAACTTGTCGATAAAACACGTAAAATGGAATGCTATCAAACAAATGAATATGTAAAAGACACACATCAACTTCAAAATTAAAGGTGGCTATGGTTAATCGCATCCTTGTGAAGAGGCCAACAGTATTCAGACATTATATGACCGTAGATAAATGTTTCAAAAAAGAAAATAAAGATTTTCTATAGTTATATAGAAATTGTCTCTCTTTGGTTAAAGGTAAATCTAATATCAAGTACTTAACAGTAAATGGTTCTTGACATGCTCTGCCTTGATGCTGGTCTTCACGCTACTATACATAGGAAGGGGTAAATAAATGAGCTGTCCGGAGACGGGCAAGGACACCTCGTCTCGGCGCCTCTCACTATATAGCTTGGACACCGTTCACCGCTTACAGGTGTAATAGAGTGTTATTTACCATCTGCCCATCGCTTCCAATAATATTTGAAAATCTATAAACTTAAACTTCAATCAAATTAGTGATAAAGCTTGGCGTTGTGATCTGCTTTTAGTTTGACTATTTCTACTGAGCTTTCCCAACAGTAGGTCATCGGAACACAGCACAGCATTCGACTCGGTCGGATTATACTGACAACGGGTAAACATTTCCTCGGTGCCATTTAAGCTTTAGGGCTTGGTAGAGATCAGCAAATATTATTTTATGGGTTATTTTCATTTCGATCAGATTCCATATTCCTCTTCATTTGAACGAACGCCGAACATCGAGGCAAAAAGCGAGATGTTTGCCTAAAAAGACGTTAAAAACAAAAGATTGGCAGAAAGGAGATAACAAGAACCGCAAATAAGTATTTTTTGCTTTTAAAATACTCCAACATACCACAGTAATTAACTCGCGTAGTAACTATCATTACAAATCTTCGATGACATTATTTAAAGCTTTGGAAAGTGTTTACTTGTCGTATTCAACAGCTGCGTTTAATAGGTTAAATTAAATGGCAACTGGATAAGTGCTTGTCTTTTATAGATCAAACGGTTTACCCATTGGATATATGAATAGACCACTACTTTTCAAGAGTTGGATATTTTAATACCAACAGTTGAACAGGACTCACACACATTTAAACATGTGCTGCATAAGAAACATATATAAACGTAATCGTGACGGAATCATTGAACATAATAAACAGAATATACGCACTCGTTGAAACCTGAAAATAGACATAACAATAAAGCTAAATTTTCCAAACCATTTTGCGGTAATATCATTTTCGCTACTTTCACTATTATTTACGGTAGGCACGGTAGGCACGGTGGTCTGGTGGTAGGACGCCGGGCTCCCGACCGAAGGGTTCGAGTCACGTCACGGCACTGTGTTGTATCTTTGAGCAAAATACTTTACTTCGCCTATTCCAGTCTACTCAGCTGTAAATGTGTACGTGGTTGGGCAGTACTAGAATTGTTGAATGCTAGCTGTGAGCGCCGAAACGGCAGCACCGGTTGCATGTTCCCCAGAGAGTTGAGAAATAAACGTTGGTGCTTGATTGCAAATTTATAAATATCATCCCGGTTTAATTGTACAGAGTATTTTCGTTTATCTGAATATTTATGTCAGGGAAATCCATCATATTGTGAACTAAATGCAAGTATGTACGTTATAAACAGACTTTTTGTGCATTTAACAAAAGTTTCATTTAGTTGGTGTAGCGTTCTATTCACAGCCAGTGTAATTTTAGGACACGCCTCTATGAGTGAAGTGAATGTATGGAGTCAGGTATTTTGTTGGTTTGAGCCAGCCTTCAAGACAACACCTTGATAGTCAACAGTTGGCTCTACTAGTACTCGAGGCGGTATATGTTGGTAAATGAAATACTGTTGTTTTTGGTTAAGATACTTAAATGTTGTTATATGTTTTATAATATTTAAAATACGTATTTTTACCACAGGACGGATTATATTGATCCTTTAGGTATATAATCCGATTACTTACATACAGCAAGCAAAAATTAACGACCAAACATCAATGTTGTTTGGTTAATTATAGGTTACTGAACATCATCGTCTGGTCCGTTTTATTTTTATTCCAACGAATATATTTCCTTTACTAAACTACTTTTCCAAAAAAATAAGATTTTTTTTAGAAATTTAGGAGTAGTATCTTTTTATAGTTCGATTTCATTTGTAATAATTAAAACATTGAATACAGTCTGATAAACATAGCAAGATAACATAAAGGCTTAGATGTAATTCCTGTTGTACACGTGACCTCTGACACTGACCTGACCCAATCCCATAACGCTTATCTAACAACAAAGAAAACGACACTTTCCTATACAGAACCAGTTTAGGCGGTTAGCTATCCTCTACATAATGACTGGTATTGTACAGTGCTTTGTTGTTGGTCTATCGTTGTGTATGACAACCCAGGCCACCGACAAAAGGATCCTTCTCAGTGATCCCACCTACGTCGCCCAGGAACTCAATCGGCTACAGTCAGAACTTCAGGATGTCAAAGTTCATGTCGGAGTCCTTCAACAAACAGTGAACAAGCAACAATCTGTCATCACAGAGTTGTCAAACAAAGGTAAGATACCAGTGTTCAACAGTCTATCATCTCAGAGTTGTCAAACAAAGGTAAGATACCAGTGTCCAACAGTCTGTCATCACAGAGTAGTCAGACAAAGGTAAGATACCAGTGTCCAACAGTCTGTCATCAGAGTTGTCTAACAAAGGTAAGAAACCAGTGTTCAACAGTCTGCCATCTCAGAGTTGTCAGACAAAAGTAAGATACCAGTAATCAGCAGTCTGTCATCTCAGAGTTGTCAGACAAAGGTAAGATACCATTGTTCTACAGTCTGTCATTTCAGAGTTGTCTAACAAAGGAAGGATACCAGTGTTCTACAGTCTATCATCTCAGAGTTGTCAGACAAAGGTAAGATACCAGTGTTCTACAGTCTATCATCTCAGAGTTGTCTAACAAAGGTAAGAAACCAGTGTTCAACAGTCTGCCATCTTAGAGTTGTCAGACAAAGGTAAGATACCAGTAATCAACAGTCTGTCATCTCAGAGTTGTCAGACAAAGGTAAGATACCATTATTCTACAGTCTGTCATTTCAGAGTTGTCTAACAAAGGAAAGATACCAGTGTTCTACACTCTATCATCTCAGTGTTGTCAGACAAAGGTAAGATACCAGTGTTCTACAGTCTATCATCTCAGAGTTGTCTAACAAAGGAAAGATACCAGTGTTTTACAGTCTGTCATTTCAGAGTTGTCTAACAAAGGTAAGATACCAGTGTTCTACAGTCTGTCATCTCAGAGTTGTCAGACAAAGGTAAGATACCGGTGGTCTACAGTCTGTCATCTCATATTTGTCTAACAAAGGTAAGATACCAGTGTGCAATGCATTTACACCATACCTTTACAGCCCATGCCTTACTTTAATACATTTGCCGAGTCATTCTTAAGTATCTGCTGTCGGCATGGTATTTCAGTGAGGGGAATGTAGCACTATAAAGTCGGGCATACTATTTGCGCCATCACAAGGGGGTAAATACACCAACGTACTGCCCCAAGCACACTTGGCATGAACGGTGGAACAACCTTAATTGACCATAACTGTTAATAGGAATGTGTACCCTATACAACCAACCAAGTTAATTGCTATCTAGTATCTTGTTCAAATCAAGATGATTTAAAACAAAGAAAACTTATTCCGAGTGTCACTGCGCTTCCTTGCATGGATTTAAGATGCCTTTCCATTTGTTTTGATATCTCCTCAGTAACTGTTATCTTTTTTCCAACAAGTAATATTGATTTTGTAGTCGTATTATGCATACATTTACTTGTTTATGATATTTTATTTACTCTTATTTCTAAATGTTAAATGACATTTGAATGTTGACATATTCAACGCGATTGTACAACATATGTAGTAGACAGTATCTCTATTTTACCGCCATTATAGCGTTTCATGTTGGAGCGTGGCGGCTGTCAAAATGTGTTGTTCAATTGTTCTTTCCCGTTTCTATATGTTCTAAACATATGCCATGTAGATGAGACTCATGTATCTCTCTCGTGCCAACTTTGAAATCTCTAACATATGCCGGATACGGGAACTGATCTGGATAAGGATGTTCACCCTATTAATGACATTTTATCTTTAGTATAACTAGCACATGACTTAAACGTTGATATATCGTTCACAGGTGTTCAGGGCACAGTGTATACTAGGTGGGGTCGACCTGATTGTCCAGCCGGTAACCACACCGAACTTGTGTACTCAGGTAAGAGGCATGATAGTACGACATATCAGATGATATTCAGCTAATGAAGCCTGCTACACATATATATCAAAGATACAGTGATATTCACTCGATAACCATAGCTCCAATAAACTAAAGTAGCATTTCTTGTTTCCATGACGTCAACAATAACATCGAAGCAGGAACTCGAAATCGATCACCAAGGCAAAATAGGAACAAAGGAAATATTTACATGGAGATCCTTTAAGCTTGAAAAAGTACAAGGAATATAAGACAAGGTGTTCCGGTTGGGGAAGCCTCTAGTAATGTCTCTGTCTGATATTCAAAGTCATATTTCCAAGGTCCCATTACACTCTGCGATGAGAAGTTGACTGAAAGACTATGTATTTCAGGAACTTTGGAAAGATAAGCACTACAGTTACCACTTACATGTAAACAGTACACACTTGTTGATAGGCACTACAGATACTACTAACATGTTATATATGCTGAACCATGACTTTTGTCACCAAGGTTTCATTCTCCTCTTTAATGTAGGTTACGTGGGAGGCTCATTCTATACATCTCCGGGTGCAGCAGCCAATGCTGTTTGTCTGCCTAACAACCCGACATTTGGTGATCACCAGTTGTCAGACTCAGGTGTTTCGACAGCGTTTATCTACGGCGCTGAGTTCGAGGAGTATGCGATGTTTGGCCTACCCCATCAAGACGAAGACGTTGCTTGCGCTGTCTGTAGACATTCTGATCATTCTACAGTAACGATGATACCCGCTAGGACTTCCTGTTACCCAGGCTGGACTGAGGCTTATGGTGGTCTACTAGCAGCCGGACACCCAACACATCCTGCAGCAACCGAATACATATGTATAGATGGACAGCCGACAAGTATTTCAGGGGGGAATAAAAACGACAATGGGAAGCTGTTCTATGCGGTGTCTACAAAATGTGGATCTCTGCAATGTCCTCCTTATGATAATGATCAGATTGTGTCCTGCGTTGTCTGCATGAAGTAATAAAACCAGAAAAAGTTTGAACTAATTACTTTATGTTTTTATATTATCAGTATTTGAAACAATATTTCTACCACTCTTCTATTTCAGAATATATTTTGTACTGATCTTATGCATAAAAGGAGTTGGGCAACAGGCTTAGCCTATATAAGCCCTCTTCTTACAAAATATAACAGTACATACATCATCATATCAATATTACTTTTAAAAGTGTATCTATAAGTATTAAAATAAGATATTTATTTGTATTGGTTGTATTTGTATTGGACAATTCATATTTCAATTATCGCGATTGTTGTAAGAGAGGTTATTTGGAAATACTACTTGAGAATCTAATAAAAACGTCTTGTGTTTCTAATACAATTCTGAACCGTCTCCACAATATTTCTATTCATATTAGCATCTTGTGAGTTTGGGTATTTAGTGGACTGGCATCACGCATTGCTGACAGAGAGTAAATTAGTATTTGACTTTGGTTAGTATAAAGAGGACAGTGCAGGAAGAAGTGATTGCGATCTTCGAAATGGGTACCATATATACATGAGGGTCTATCATTTCGATGTGAATTAAGTACAGCTGAGTTCAAAATAACTTCCGTTATTTTTTCTATCACCGTGATATTTACAATTGTTACACCTCAAGTGAATTTCTAGCTATTTGATTGGTTGGAAGAAAATTAAACAAAAATCTCTGTCACCCTCCGAAAATACATTGGTTTTAAGGGGCGCGGGTGATATTGCCATGAGACAGTGAAAAATATCACATGCGCAAAAAATGTGCGTGCACCGCTTCGTTTCCCCACCGTGATGGTCACAAGAACGTTTGACGGCAACAGCCAATTTCATCAAGCGCCGGTGCGATAGCGATTGTAAACAGCAGACTATCAACAAACAAGATGTCATTATCGAGGTTTGCTGCCGTTTCTGAGCTACATTGACTTTTGGTGTAACAAAATAGATATGACATTCATTAGCAGGTGACAGTGAATATTGTCAACCCTCAAAAACCCATTGTCACCCTCGGCTTCGCCTCGGGTGACAATGGTTTTCTCGGGTTGACAATATTCACTGTCACCTGCTAATGAATGTCATATTTATATAAAATTACTACATAGTGGCTGAACATCCGCATCGGATGAACGTAGGTATTCCTTTTCAGCGCTCCAATATATGTCGTAGTAGGAAACAAGATTGTTCCATTCTGAATTGTATAAATGAGTTCTTGGTAGTGGATCATCAAATAATCTGTTGTGTCGAAAGTTGTTATACCAATGTTATTTACCACCCTTCAATAGCAACAACATGTTATTCCTCTTTTTTGGCAAATGGTTTCGTTTGTTTGAAAACAGAAAACTGCTTTTAGTAACATTAACGGATAATGTTCAAAGCTGTTTTCCATTACATGTCGTTAAAAGCGGCTTATTTGGGGTCGCTGTAGAATCATTTTTTTTTCTTCTCTGTCTTATGCTTAACGAGCCATTGAAAGCATCACAATTGATCTGCTGCCCCCATGGCAACACTTGGGATCTTGATATTTCTCTCTGCTTCCTAGCGTCTTTCTTGCAAGTACCTAACAGTTTGCCTTACTTTTTGAACGTTCGCTGTATGAAAGAAGGCACTGGTTTCTGTCCTCATGTAACATTTCTAGTTTACAAGTTATAGCAAGGTAAGTTACTTCATACAGCTATGTAGATTTGACGTCAAGAAACTGCGTGATTTTTGTGATATCTTGATATACTTCTAGAACTTGTTCGTCCGATAAGGTAGTGTATCTGTAGCTACGCCCTCAGTGTTGACAGTCGTGTATCTGTAGCTACGCCCTCAGTGTTGACAGTGGTGTATCTGTGGCTACGCCCTCAGTGTTGACAGTCGTGTATCTGTAGCTACGCCCTCAGTGTTGACAGTCGTGTATCTGTAGCTACGCCCTCAGTGTTGACAGTCGTGTATATGTAGCTACGCCCTCAGTGTTGACAGACGTGTATATGTAGCTACGCCCTCAGTGTTGACAGTCGTGTATCTGTAGCTGCGCCCTCAGTGTTGACAGTCGTGTATCTGTAGCTACGCCCTCAGTGTTGACAGTCGTTGGGCTATTTTAGAGGCCATGATAAAGGTGCCGATGCCGCAATGTGGAAAAGCGACGTAATTAAATTAAAACCTTTTACGATATATGTACCGTAGAGGTTAGAAAGGTGAGATTAATTTCTCTGCACAAACTCTGTTTGCAAATATGGAGTATGCGTCTTCTCTCTTACTGATTTGTTTTCGTCAAAGAAGCTCAGTGGGGAAATGATACCCATTCCAAACGCATTTTAATGGTTTCTGATAGTTGGAATGGGAGCAAAATAGTCAGTCATGCCCAGGGGTATAGGATAGGGAAATCCCACTCTCGGGATTTTCAAATCTGGCAAAACCCTTGGATGGAATTTCCCTATCCTACACACTTGGGCATAAAAGAGTCTTATATTCTACAATAATTAATATTTCAATGAAAAATACTCACCTAGTTAATTACCTTTCATAGATATAAAAACTGACCCCCCAAACCCCTACCCCTAACTGTCATCCCCCATCCTCTTACATATTCAGAACCATGAGCACAGTCTTCCCGTTGAAAAAAAGGATTGATGAAAGTGGGGTTTTTTTGTTAAAAGACTTTTTAACAGCTAAGATCATTTGAGGACGTTGCTGTATTTGCATCTTTGCGATAGCGCGGATCTGATGCCGACTTTATAGCGCTATCTCATTGAAATACCATGCCTAAGGCACCCGTCATAGTATTCCGTCCGGTCACAATATACTAACAACGGGTGAACCAGTTGTTGCGATAACCCCGAATGCTGGACGTTAAGCAGGGAATAACAACTACCATGGTAAGGACCCGGCCTGGGTGACAGAACCCATTGTCTACCCCACTTGGTCAGCCTTAAGTCCAAAAGTAAGGTATTGCCAAGCAAGGAAACAAGAACGTTTTCAGGGAATTGAGAGAATACATTTCGATCCCAAAATGCAATAGGGGCAGCAAATACATTTTTAGTCGTCTTAATCCTTAACAAAAGACACAGAAGAAAGCGCGATTCTGCAAGGAGCCCACATTAAGCACCGTTTATGACTTTTTCTTTTCCTGAACTTGAAGGGGATTATAAAAGTAGTATGATAAACATACAGGTATGTATTGTAAAGATTTGCAGCATTATTAACTTTACATGGTGACTGACTGGCGCTGTCATTACTGATCTCCCACTTCATCAATATCATGGTGGGATCCCTTGGTATTATTACATCACGTTTTGGGCATCTATACAATCACATGTGTTTTCTCTCGGTTATTTTTTTCTCATAAAAGCTAGTCTTTTTAAAGTGTGTCAAAACCTGTGCCTCCTCAAGAGAGGTTACGTTGATAACTTATTTTAACGTTTATGCGTGTATTTTGAACTCTCTCCAGTATTGTATATATCAAAATGACTTTGACTTCATAATAATTCAGTTCAGAATATATCCATGAAATTACAGGGGTAATGTTTTCAAACGTTCTTTGCATACCTGGGATATGTAACGAGAAATCGAAAGTTCCACGCTTCCTTGCAGATGATTCAAGAAGACTAGTTTGATCCTTTGATGTACATAAAAAAACATCGCACAGAGAGGTATCGGTAAAATTGACTAGTTTTGAAACTTACATTTGTCATCAGTTTATACTTGATTACATCATTTATATTTTCTGTTAATCCACAAATATTGCTTCAGAATATAACTTACCGCATAATTACTTTCTAGATATGTTAGAAATATAATAAAAGGAATCAACAATAACTGTTCTATTGTTAATTGATGCCCTTAAAGGTTCCAAAGTAAACATTGTACAGTATTTAGATAACCAAAAAAAAATGCGCAGCTACAAAATGTTTCACTGAACAAATAATATTTTTCGTTTTCCTATTTGGAACACATATAGTAATTACAATTTTACAATACTTGGACCTGAATTGTGATCAGTGAACTTAAATAGATATATGAATAGTAATAATGAATGATAAAGTGATGTCAAGCTTTATACATTAAAACAATCAAACAAAACATGTAAATCTATTTTTAAAATAATACAAACTATGAGTTACATTTCTGAAATAACTGATGACTTAACATCATAAAAACTAAATATACAAGAAATATATTTTTAATGAAAAGAAAAAATCCAGAAATTTTGTTTAGATTCAATAAGAGATAATAAGACATCGTAGAAAAAAAAAAACTTTTTTGGTTTTTGTGATGATGAAAACACGAGCCAAATTTCCTGTTGCGTGTGAGTACAACATGGCAGGACAGAGGACCATATATATGTCAGTGTTGCGAAAATTCCCATTTATCTATACAATGCTTTATACATGCTTTCTTGGCATGTGTTGTATTACAATTAATTTGCTATTGACGAGTCTCATAATCCTTGCAGATTGTCTTTGTACAATAATGGATGTCTACTGTATTCTGTGGTGATGATATATCTAACGATTTGCACCCTGAATGGGATTTAATAGGTCTCTTTGATCCAACTGTCTGCCATAAGAGACGACCAATATTTGGCCCCTTCATACTTTTGGGTTCTCCTGTGTGCATTCTGCTTTAGGACATTACAAACCAAAACTGACCTGCTTCCTCCATTGCAATACTAGGGATCTATAATTTTCCCTTTTTTCTCTCTCGATCCTTCCCGTACGGCGGTGTCACCCTGGCACCCGTCTTCAAACGTCTTAGCTACATGGCTATCCAATAGGACGAAAACATTAAACTTACTATGATCTGTAACAGTCCGTAGTAAATTTTATCAAAACGAATTTGAAATAGAACATCTTAAGTAAACAACATATAATTTGTTTGCAATTTAAATTCAGTGTTGTGTGGACTAATGTGAAAACTAGCAGATGAGTATACCGAGGGTAAAATTACCCTCTCGCGACTATGCGAATTACCATTGTGAAATGTTTGTTTGGAATAGTGCTGTTTTTGTCATAAATAAATGAGTACTTACAATCAATTGATCTTAAGATATTACATTATGTCGAACTTCTTCGGTGGCTTTTGAAGCTTTCTGAATTTGTTACCTTTAGACTTTTTGATTTGAAATTAATTTTGTTCTTTTAGAAACCGTATTTTTCTACATGGTTCAGTCATAATTTCCCAGGATGATTTGGTGTTTATATCAAGGACCGTACTAGCTCACAAATGGTTTGGTTTTATTTTGTTTAACGTTCTGTTAACAGCTTGGATCATTTAGGGACGTGCCTCCCTGTATGATGTAGATGCGTGCATGTGTGTATATGTGCCGGATATTGGGTATGTTGATGTATTTGTCTTCTTGTGATAACGCGGATTTGATGGCAATTTTATAGTGCTATCTCACTGAATTACCATGCCGAATGCACCTAGCACAGTATTCCGCACGGTCACATTATACGAACAACGGGTGAACCAGTTGTTGCCTTTACCTTTATTGCTGAGTGTTAAGCAGGAAATAACACTACTTTTTTAAGGACTTTGGTATGTCCTGGCCTGGGGACAGAAGCCATTACCTTCTTAACTGGGCGAATGTTCAACATTAAAGCCAAAACGAAGGAAAAGCTCTGTTACACTATGTTACGTTTTTTTTTTATATATAAGCTGTCTGACATTTGGCATTACATTCGTAAAAGAATGTCGGAATATTAGTATATTAAATTTAGGCATTAGCCGCTTATGTACTACATATGCCAGACTAAGTGATGATGTACGTTTATGTATACAGATTATTTACCAACGTTTTTGATCAGTGCGGGAAATCAAAATATAACAATCAGACCAATAGAAAACAATAGAAATTTTATTGATTTTATGACAGAAAACAAGCTCAAGATTAATATTGTTTAATTGCATACATCATTTTAAAGATATTTCTTTTGTGTAAAAATGACAATGTACAAAAGTCATCAATCAAATTAAAAAACAATTCCTCAATGGACGAAATGAACCTCCGGTAGAAAATAAATAATGTTTACTCTGGCTTTCTACATTGTCAAAGTTAATTTTAACCAGGTGCTTCTTTGCTCCGTATTTTTAATGATTGTTTATAAACTAAGGTGGTTGACTATGCTGGTGGACTGTCATTAACCGAAGTTGCTGGAACATTTTTTATTAAAAAATTCAAAATGTGATGTTTGTTCTCAAATCGGACGACAATCACCTTGTATCACCTATGTTTGAAATCCATTTAAACGAGTCGTTTACAAACACATAAAATTAAAAGATTAAAAAGATAAGACAATCTTATTTTTAAAACAGCGATACCATTATAAATCGAAAAATGAAATCTGATAATAGAATATACTGAACATTTCGTAGACTAGATAGAGGAGTTACCGATTGATAAAGACCGTTTGATAAGTACTACTGATGAGTCGTAAATAGACACAATAGCCTATTTATGATAAACAAAAATATACAGAAAGTCATTTACACTTCACCATACGTAATATCTACAAATATGATAAGGACATACCCTTCTTAGAATATTGACCTATTGTCTTTGTTAGTACTAACAAACTGTATACATGACCAAACCATAAAGGAACCATCACCGGGGTAGGTTCATCTCATTACATCAAACAAATAACATTTGACTTTTAAACTTACATTTGTAATCAGTTAATACTTGATTACATCATTTTTTTTCTGTTTATCCACAAATATGTTTTTAAATATAACGTATTGCATAATTACTTTTCATAAATGTTAGAAATATAATAAAAGAAATCCACACCAACTATTGTTAATTTATGCCCTTAAAAGTTCCAAAGTAAACATTGTACAGTATTAAGATAGCAATACAAAAGCGCAAATTCAAAATGTCTCTTGAAATAATAAAATGTTGGTGGTAATAAAAACAGTCTCTCAATGTACAGTAGTCCGGGACGGTTGATATGGAATAATATGGCTATAATAAAAACATTAAATTAAAGACGGTTAATATGAAACCCCTAGAGATATGGTTATAATATTAACATTAAATTAGGGACGGTTGATATGGAATCCCTAGAGATATGGCTATAATACAAACATTAAATTAGGGACGGTTGATATGGAATCCCTAGAGATAAAGCTATAATACAAACATTAAATTAGGGACGGTTGATATTAAACCCCTAGAGATATGGCTATAATACAAACATTGTTAGGGACGGTTGATATAAAAACCCTAGAGATATGGCTATAATACAAACACTGTTAGGGACGGTTGCTATTGAACCCCTAGAGATACGGCTATAATACAAACATTGTTAGGGACGGTTGCTATTGAACCCCTAGCGATACGGCTATAATACAAACATTGTTAGGGACGGTTGCTATTGAACCCCTAGAGATATGGCTATAATACAAACATTGTTAGGGACGGTTGCTATTGAACCCCTAGAGATATGGCTATAATACAAACACTGTTAGGGACGGTTGCTATTGAACCCCTAGAGATATGGCTATAATACAAACATTGTTAGGGACGGTTGATATAAAAACCCTAGAGATATGGCTATAATACAAACATTGTTAGGGACGGTTGCTATTGAACCCCTAGAGATACGGCTATAATACAAACATTGCTAGGGACAGTTGTTATGGAACCCCTAGAGATATGGCTATAATACAAACAATGAATTAGGGACGGTTGATATGGGACCCCTAGATATATGGCTATAATAAAAACATTAAATTAGGGACGATTGATTTAGAATCCGTAGAGCTATGGCTATGATACAAACATTGTTAGGGACGGTTGTTAGGGAACCCCTAGCGATATGGCTATAATACAAACATTGTTAGGGACGGTTGCTATTGAACCCCTAGAGATACGGCTATAATACAAACATTGTTAGGGACAGTTGTTATGGAACCCCTAGAGATATGGCTATAATACAAACACTGTTAGGGACGGTTGCTATTGAACCCCTAGAGATATGGCTATAATACAAACATTGTTAGGGACGGTTGCTATTAAACCTCTAGAGATATGGCTATAATACAAGCATTAAATTAGGGACGGTTGATATGGAATCCCTAGAGATATGGCTATACTAAAAACATTAAATTAGGGACGGTTGATATGGAACCCTTAGAGATATGGCTATACTAAACACATTAAATCAAATACAGCAGCTGATTCCGATAACACCACAATGATTTAATCATCATACTTTAGAAGAAATGGACGAAACATATATTTTGAAAAATATTTAGTTTAGCTTGTATAGACTGAGTACCAAGATTTATAGCAACACTGCGGAAACTAAAAGTTATAACTGGTAGACACCACATTGAACAAAGTGTATTAGCAGTTACTTGCAGCACAACCTGTTAGTTTTACAAATCTTACACTAAATCTGAATTATTACTACTAGACGAAATGGCTGGAAATCATGAAAAAAACACGTTAAAATCTTAAACTATTCCTCATTTATGCAGCCAGTCTTTCTCCACAAAATCTATTGATGTCTTATCAAAATATCATTTAAAAAAATTCCAATGACATTGCAGAAAAAAACCACCTAATGGTTGTCCTCAATCTGTGTATGTTATATACTATTGCATTGTGGATATTAAAAATAGAATGCTGGAACTATTTTAAAATTACGCAATACAATTTAAGAATAACAAAACTTTAAACCTGCTTTCTACGACATCGTCCTGGGAAACGATTCTACAAGATAGGCGCTTCGACAAATCGGCCGCTACGTTGTGAAACAGCCTTTTTGTACATTTGAAATATTCGATGTCTCTTGAAACTTTCAGGAAATAGATGAAAACACGACTGTTTACTTTGGCTTTTAGCTAATTCAGCAATGTAAGTGTCCTGCGTTATTGACTGAGAAATGGATATACCACCCCATAATGCATATAGTACAGGAACGTTATTATTTAAAAATTCTATTAAAAACCTTTGTTATATATTTTATATCAATTGTATTTTATGCATATAAATGTATTTTGTATATCTTGATATTAAGTTTTACATTATATGTCTGAAATATATACTTTTAAAGGGCTATATTGTTTGATATCCTTTTAAATGGTAACATTCCTGTAAGATTACGCTCCCTAACCCCCACCCATTTATAGTTCATCCCCTTACTTTAAGGATACACACTTACGATGTATTTTAGTTATTAAGAATGTACATGCAGGATTGACTAATTGGGTACAATTCAATAACATCATCATTGGACACCTGTCTTGGTATACGGCGAAGAACTAAAGGAGTGAGATGAACATTAAATAAGGTTAAGGCTGTAAGATAGGGAAGAGACATTAATAGTAAGAATATATATTATTGGTGTCACAGCAGTTTCATACTTATGAAATATTTCACATGATCATTTCCATTCATTCTTACTTTCCATACGTTATTATTATCATTGCATTGTCACCATAGATGGCTAGGACTGATCGGCTTGGTAACCTGGTTTCAATACTTTTCCTTATTTTAACATAGAATACAATGTATGTCTAAAATCAAATAGTCCTGTTCCAGGATATTTATTTCAAACATGGTGAACCGTGTTTGACTATTTACGAAAAAATAATTATTTTTATTACACACTACTAGTATCTATGATAATAAACAGTTATTCATTATATATTCTGTTTAAACTCTTTACTGATATCAAGTTGAACGTCAATTGTTCTTTAAATAAAACAATTCCTTACTACAAACAACAATCACTCTACGCTTTCAATAGGAAACCTCGCTGTTAGAACATATCTGTCCTCTTTTATAAACAAATCTATCAGGAGTAGAGTCACCTTTTCATATGTTATAAAAAATGTATTTTGAGTAAACCATGACAAGACGCAAAAAATAAACAAGAATTTGAAACAGAAACATCGCGGACATATAAGGTTTAATATATGACATTTGAATATCTTACATAGTCACGTTCTTTCAATATATGATATTTCTCTCACTTCACTGTGTGTAAGATAGAGCTGTCCAGGGAAAGAAAGGGGTGTAAGAAATTTCCATCGTGCATCCAATTTCACGTGACGTGACGTCACAATGGCTCAACAATGACGTGACGTAATTAATTTGGAAAGTCTCCTATGTCGCAATGCGGAAAAGGCGACGTGATGAATTTAAACCTTTTACGGTGTATCTACCGTATACGTTAGAAAGATGTGATTATTTTTTCTGTGTAAACATTGTTTACAAATATGCAGTATGCTTAATATGGCTGACAGATTTGATTTCGTCTAAAAACCTCAGGGGGAAAATAGATGTTTTCAAAACAGTCCACACGCATCTTCATGGTTTCTTAGCTTATTCTGGTATTTTGATGGCAAAACCTGGGGCTTTACTAAATTTGAAAACCCCTCATGTGGAATTTCCCTATCATACACCCCTGGGCATGAAAGAGTCTTACATTCTCTCCCTTGCATTGTATATAGCATGTCTTTACTACTTGGTTACAAACTAAGGTTACACAAGTTTAGCTAAGTTTGTCAATTATAATTAGTTACTACAACTTATTTAGGACTACGTAACGCATGGATAAACAATAAGATAATCTAGGTACATCAGTGAGCCGACACCAGGATATAGATTTATAATACGAACATTTAACTTAGTGAACCTCTCCATTTTGACATCAATATAAAACATTAAAAAGAAGACGACGACGAATACATTGTAAAATCGATCAGAGTTATTCCATTTATAAAAATGTCGTCATATAATTTCCTCGCTGTCGTCTCTCTGTCACGGGGTAACTACTGTTGAGAAAAGTTGATATTTATAATGATAAATTCGTGTATTTAGGGAGAACAGCATTATAACCTGTTTACCTATGGAAACTGTTGGCATACAAACATTATATATGTATCTTAGTCATTTCGAATAATATATGATGAATGTGCATTAAGTTTGTTCACAAATGTAATCGACAGCTGTGCCACAGTTGCCTCCCTTGAGTATGCCATCCCTCGCGCGAATACAGTCTCCGCTTCCAGCTTCATCCGCGTTACAAACATCCCCAGTCGACCAATAAAAAGTCCCACTTGATTTAGTAGCACCGATCCAGCAGCCTGGAACAATAACACACATTGTCATGATTTACTGGACTCGTTAAAAGAAGGATTTTGTGCTGTCTGCGCATGTCTCTACCTTGTTCTCAACCCATATACCGATATTCAAAGTATTCCTTTGTTTCGTAATTCACCAAGGTAAAAACAGATGATAAAAAACCCGATACAGAACATGGGGGAGGGGACCTAAACAAAAGTTAGAAAATCACGAACACGAACAAAAGTTTGAGCGTCTCCGGGTGTATTTGAGAGTACGTGTTTGTATTAATACCACTGTAGGTTCGGGGGAAGGATAGGCTATACCTTAAGGGTAATTTAAACTATTATTCCGCTATAAGGTTACATAATGAAAAAAGTGTTCTATGTAGAAGAAACAACAGTATACGGAAATAAAGCTGTGAAAATACCTTTGAATAAAAAATAAATACAATGAAAAACATGATTAGGGAATATTTGAAGAAATAATAACCGAAACAATATTTTCTGTCGAGATTGATGGAATCAACCAAATTATCACCCGAGGGCTGGAGATTCCTTCGTTACATCCTCGGTTTGAGGAGGATATATTTCTACCATCATTTTAATATGTTATTGTTGAAAACAATAACAATCAGTATCGGCTGTCGGTTTTTTATTGTGTCGAGGGTTTTTTGTGACGTCATATCAAATTGATCCCGTGACGTCATTTTACTGCCAAATAGAATCGTCCCCTACCTTGAGGGCACGACAGAGAAATCTCCTACCCGAGGGTTGATGTTTTTTGGTTGTGTAACCCGAGGCTCTGCTGATGGTTAGACAACCATAATAATAACCCTAAAGGTTGGAGATTTCCCTGTAGGTGATCCCATCCTATTATTTTAGTCACAATTCTACCGACAGTAGTCTGTAAACAAAAGCACCTGTTGGGTATAAATATCGTCATTCTTGTGATGACGTCACAATTACCGGTAACACATTTTAATGACGTTACAATTGAACACGTGCTAATCGGCACGAGGCTATTTCCACTTAGGGAGTGGCAAGCTGACCTTTCCCGGCTAAAACGGGAGACACACCGGTGAAGGGTGGGAGAATATTACGTCACTGGAACATCTGTCACACTATAGGGGTGACAGGATAAATCATACACTGGGCAGTGAAAGAAGAATCATGAACAGGTCAAACGGGGGATAAATCTGTGAATGTTGGGTGAAGTTAATGTCGTTATCAGTGTGTATGATTTCACGACACAGTTCGAATAAAACGTGGCCGATATTGTACTGGTTTGAACGTTACTGTAGTACTTACTCGTGCTAGACGGACATAACGTAACGGCGGCTGTCTTTTTATCAGTAGTGTCTGCCACTAGGAGGCGGCCAGTTACAGGACAACCTGCGTTTGCCCCAGACCAGGACAGTCCGGTGCCGTGGTACAGGCACAGCCCTGCCAACACATTCTCGGAATATGGTGACACACAGGTAAGAGTTCCTAGAAAATGAAAAAAAAAATACTTGTTTCAATTAAGGATCCCTCTACCACTCCTTCAATACGCATAAGAAACTGTTCTGTTTTCAGTATGACTAAAGCTTGCAGGACGTATATAAAACAGTAATAAAGATGAAATACCTGATACAGTTACAATGTATATCCAAATGAGATTAAGGGGAGATCACTGTATATACGAAAAAACACAATAGAGTGGGGACAGGGATCCTGAAAGGCCTTGTGAGACATGAAAATGTCCCTCATACATGTCTTATGTAAGAAAAACTATATTTTTTCCTTTTATAAAACGATTCTATTTATTATTTTTGGCATCGGTTCTGCATGTGATGAAAAGACATTACTTTGATTCAAGTTAAATTTACATGGAGGCTGTCATCGATGAAGCTTACTGTTCCAGAACACCTAGTATTATTCCCCTTGTACTTTTTCATCGTTATTATCTTGACTATCTTGAATAAACAATTATCAGAGCGTAGGTGTTTTGCCATTACCAGAGTAACTTATACTAAACAACTTGGGAAATGATCATACATGCGTGTAGGCAACTACGGGTGTTACGGCACGATTTATCACGGTGAGAAATCGTGTCTGAGTGAGAAATCGTGCCGTAACATCCGGGTCTGATATTCATTTTAGGCAGCTACGCGTCTGATATTCATTTCGGCAGCTATGCGTCTGATATCAATTTTAGGCAGCTTCGCGTTAGATATAAATATAGGCAGCTACAGTTCAGATATTTGTTTAAGGCAGCTACGCGTCATATATAAATATAGGCAGCTACGGGTCTGATATTTATTTCGGGCAGCTACGCGTTATATATAAATATAGGCAGCTACGCCTTAGATATAGCTATTGGCAGCTACGCCTTAGATATAAATATAGGGAGCTACGCGTTATATATAAATATAGGCAGCCGCGCGTTAGATATAAATATAGGTAGCTACGCGTTAGATATAACTATAGGCAGCTACGCCTTAGATATAGCTATTGGCAGCTACGCCTTAGATATAAAGATAGGCAGCTACGCCTTAGATATAGCTATTGGCAGCTACGCCTTAGATATAAATATAGGTAGCTACGCCTTAGATATAAATATATGCAGCTACGCGTTATATATAAATATAGGCAGCCGCGCGTTAGATATAAATATAGGAAGCTACGCGTTAGATATAAAGATAGGCAGCTACGCCTTAGATATAGCTATTGGCAGCTACGCCTTAGATATAAATATAGGGAGCTACGCGTTATATATAAATATAGGCAGCCGCGCGTTAGATATAAATATAGGGAGCTACGCGTTATATATAAATATAGGCAGTCACGCGTTAAATATAAATATAGGCAGCTACGGTTCCGATATTTATTTCGGGCAGCTACGCGGTAGATATAAATATAGGCAGCTAAGCCTTAGATATAAATATAGGCAGCTACGCGTTAGATATAAATATAGGTAGCTACGCGTTAGATATAAATATAGGCAGCTACGCCTTAGATACATATCAGAAGATACAGAGGAACATTCGTGGCTGGAAACTCCTCAAGCTTTTTTTAAAACAATACATTTTGTCCCTTTTTTCCGAATCTCAAAGATCAACAGTATCTAGATATTTAAAGCTTGGCATACAACTACAACCCTATTCATATGAATTGTGAATAATACGGTACGTCGCGTATCTAAGTTCCTGAAACATTTTTTTTTTTTTATCTTTAAGTGTTTGCCACGTGAAGGTCGTTGTCTGCTCAACTACTATATAGTTCTTTCGGAGAAGTATTGTTATTGTAAGTAACAAATAAGGCAGCGTTTAGCTTTTTGTGCTGCATCAGTACAGATCATTGGCGGTCAGTTATATATATGACGTCATACTATTACGTCATATATTCACAGATCAAACAGATAGAGGCAGCCTCGCCTAGATCATGGCGCTCCAATCAATGGGTGAAGCATCGTTAATGTAATTGCATACAAAAGGGAGTTTTATTGTACTAGACGATATGTTGTATATTGCTTCATATTGGACAAGTTGGTAAAAAAGTTAGCAGTATGCTTCGTTTGGAGGTAAGTTGACGTCGTAACAATTGATGACGTCACTAATTCATCTAGAGTGCAGGGATGAATTGGCGATATTGATAATGATAGGCTGTGCTATTTAAAACCAATCGTTCGAGGCAGTTTCCGCGCGTATAAAATACCCCAACCTGATCTAGAGGTTGATTAGAACTAAACATAAGAAAATCACTAAAAGCTTGCACCTCTAGGTAGCACCTATATCAGATAACGGTTAGTATCGAATAGATTTCATGAGTTTGAAATACAGAACTCTTAAGGATTGTCCAATGGGGTAACACATTTATAAACCAAAAGAACATGCACATAGAATATCCGCGATTCTTAAACAGGGACATTCTCACAGGCGTTATAGAAATTTCCCGCAAAATTATCAATATAATGTTTATCATTAAACAACGTTAGACCTCTTTACACTAGCTCAGTTATGGATCAAAAAATCAAATAAAGCATTGATGATTCATATTTTTACAGAGAGAAATAAGAATACCCCTCGTTTTCCGCCCAATAAACATTGTTTGTGACACTTTAAATGTACTGCCCTTGTTGTGTTATTTCAACGTATCACTACTAAATTTGGGGTCTTCCCTGAACACCAACTCTGCTTAAAATCACATGTTTACATAGGTGGTCAGATGTGATGATAGTGAGTTATAGTCTATTGCAGAAATGGTGTACAGGTAAATTGCACTGGTAAATCAACTTCTGATAACTAAATTTCAGGCGTCAAAACCGGAAGAACTTTTGAATGTGTATAATAATTCCCAAAGGGACTTCTGGAAGCAAATAGGTAAATTGGGTATAAATAATGAAAGTAAAAATATTATTCCTACAGAGGTCATAGATGCGGATGGTAATTTGATTACAGAACCAACTGAAGTTTTATCAGTATGGTGTGATATATATAGTGATCTGTACAATGTCCCAGTTGAAAATGATGAAGTTAATTACACAGAACTTATTAATTCTTTGGGTCCACTGTCAAATGTGGATAGCAATGATATTAATTTACCCATTACAAGGAAAGAGGTTGAAGATGCTGGATTTCGAGCAAAACTTAATAAAGCAGCAGGTATAGATGCTATGATATCTATCCCGTGCAAAATCTATGCTGATATTCTAGACCAGCGTTTATCCAAATGGTTAGAAACAAACAATCTCCTAGCTTAAGAACAAAATGGTTTTGTCTTAATCATCAATACATTTTATATTCTATTTTAAATGATAGGAAAATAAGGAAACAATCTACTTTTGTCTGCTTTGTCGATATGAAAAAGGCATTTGATTGTGTTAGACGTGAGTTTTATATGAATATAATCAAAATCAAGTTAGAAAGTAAGCAAGCACGGGGTATGAACATAAAAATCACTGTAAATCGGGAGATGGTAATTATCATATATTAACCCAGGGTGAAATAAATGACTTCACCAAAAACAAAAATTGTATCGTATTTAACTGTATGTCACACATACGCACGCATACTTACATACATAAATACACATGCATTGTCACACTCAGTATGGAATGATTTCACATGCGCATGCATGACTAAAACTAGCAAGCGATCACGTTTGTAGCAGTATATGTTTTTAAAAATTGTTTATACACACAAACACACGCGTGCATGATCGATTCACACGTACATCTACATATGCATTCGTACCCATATATATACCCATACTTATACACATATATTTATATACAAACGTACATATATGTTCCCATACACAAGTGCACGTATACACACGCACACCGACATATACAAAAAGAGCGTCTTACACAACACCCACACAAAGACTTCAGGATACAAACATGTACTCAAATATTCGTACTCAAGCTTACTTTTGCCATACGTTCGTAGTTTGAAAATATATACACGGGGGTAGACAAGCTTGGTAGTTGGTGTAAAAAGTGGAAATTAGGCATAAATCAAGAAAAAAACAAAAGTTGTGTATTTTCGCAATCCATCTGTACCTCTAACAAATTTTAATTTTACATGTGGTGCTATACCTATAGAAAAAATCAAGAATTACAAATACCTTGGTTTTTGGTTTCATGAACACTTAAATTTACATTTTACTGTACAAGAATTGTGTAAATCTGCAAGTAGATCATTCTATGCTCTTTATTCCAATTATGTGCATGCTGGAGAAATGTGTTATGAAGTTTACTGTAAGCTGTATGTATCCCTAGTGGAACCAGTGCTATTTTATGGTACTGGAATCTGGGGTCTGAATAAATATAGAGAAGTGGCTATGGTTCAAAATAAGGCATGCAGGTATTTTCTGGGGTCTGCTAGAAAAGCAAGTAATGTAGCCTTTCTAGGAGATATGGGTTGGAATTCATGTGAAGTTAACCAATTAACTGAAGTTTTTAGACTATGTTTAAGTATTAAGAATTGCGATGATAGCAGACTACTGCAGACAATTCATAAATGGTAATGTTATATTAGAAAATCGTGGGACTCCCGGGTTGTTAGTCTGATAGCGGAGAATTTTTTTTAAAAGTCTTAACCGCAAATCATCAACGTACAAATGCATGAAGGATATTAAGAATGTCATGAGTTTTGAAGATGATAATAAGTGGCAGTTGTCTTTGTTGGATGACACAAACAATGTATCAGTTGATTTAAGATTGTATGATTGTCTTGGCTGTTAATGGTTTGAGTAATGATGCTATACAAACACTATCACCGGACAAAATCTTCAGACGAGGGCTTCCCTGACACGTTATTTTACAATCTTCTTACTTTTAGATTGTGAACCTTTGAAATAAATTACTTAATTTTGGTTTTGTATTTTATTCATATCAGAAGTTATGCAAACTTCAATATTATACTTTTAAGACATTGTGTGTTATTGTTGTTTCTTATAGTAAGAATTTCGGTGTCTGAGGAGAAGTTTTAATCCTGTATACAGAGGTTTATCGGTGAAAGGGTAAGCAATACGTATGTCAAACCTACCCACAGTTGTCGTTGTAGGAGCCGGGGTGGTGGTGATAGTGGTTGTCGTTGTTGTCGGAGCCGGGGTGGTGGTAGTAGTGGTTGTCGTTGTAGGAGCCGGGGTGGTGGTAGTAGTGGTTGTCGTTGTCGGCGTTTCCGTCGTCGTAATAATTTCACTTACTGGTGCTGAATAAAAAAACATGGTAACATATCCCGAATGAAAATGTTAGGATTATTCTAAAAATGATAATGACGTCAGCTCAACGTTTTAAAAGCTATATTTTGTTAACATTTCATGACTAGCAAAACAACAATGACGTTAATGTCAGAAAAACACAGTGGTACCGCCGCTAACATGTAGCTATTCTTAATCATTTGCTGTCGTCCCTAACTAAATACGGACTAATTAACTGTCAAACAGGTATCTAACGCTAGCCCATCACTATAAAGAGAACCCTTAAGAAATGTGTTCACCTTCACGACAATATTGTGGTGATCTGATGGCTTACCTTAAGTCGTTCTAGATTGAGAATAATTTAAGTAGGTGACCGATGTTTCAAAGAATGACAGCAGCCATCAAATAAAATATCAGTTGATCTAGATATTGATTGGAATGTCAGTATATGATAGTTTACTCTGTGATCCATATCGTTCTAATTCACACGCAAGGAACTAATAACTGTAATGGATTGACTATTGTACTATTGTAGGTAGGCCAATGCTAGTGTACTGGTATTCCATTTGGTTGTAGTAATATGAGGGTATACACGGCTATTCGGGTTTATGTTCTTCATGTCACGTCTAATAGGAAACTAAATGTTGGTCTTTGAAGAAACATATTCATTGTCAATACATCCGTCTACAACTATGGAACTTACACTGAAGGAACCACATATGATCTACTGCTCCCATTTCAATACCCCAATATACCTCGTGCAGCGCACATGTCTACATTACACAAACGGGTGTACGTCGTTAAAACACCCCAGCTGTAATAGGACGTTAAACACGATAAACCCATTCTAACTTAACCTATCAAACACTGCACATACAGGTAAGATGCCACCACATATAAATTAACTTACCAACATTGACAGAAACGTTGATAAGTATATGTAATATCTACAATACCAACAGTGAGTTCAGCTATTCTTTTAAGGTAACATTTTTGTAACATTAATTAAACAACTTCTGTGAACTTATTTATTTTTCACTTTGTTATTCACTCGTGTTGGCCAGGATTTTTTGTTTGTTTGATTTTGTTTAACGTCCTATTAACAGCTAAGGTCATTTAGGGACGGCCTCCCCTGTGTGCAAGATGCATGCGTGTAGTGTATGTGTGTGTATTTTGGGAGGCTGCGATATGTTCGTGTTTGTCTCCTTGTGATAGCGCGGAACTGGTGCCGACTTTATAGTGCTACCTCACAGAAACATACTGCCGAAGACACCCAGCAGGACATCCCACCCGGTCACATTATACTGACAACGGGCGAACCAGTCGTCCCACTCCTAATTTGCTGAGCGTTAAGCTATATACATATTAAGCTGTTTATAACTAAAAGTTTAAAATTTCTATCTCAAAACCTTTCCTCCTTGAAGTAGTGACCGATCAATAACGATCATTGTTGTATTACAGTATTGTTTATATCATTTTAAACAGTGTAGAGTGTATTACGGGAATGTATATACCATTGTATACAGTGAAGAGTGGGTTAATTTAATGCATATATACTTGTATACAGTGTAGAGTGTATTACAATAATGTTTATATCAATGTATACAGTGTAGAGTGTATTACAATAATGTTTATATCAATGTATACAGTGTAGAGTGTATTACAATAATGTTTATATCAATGTATACAGTGTAGAGTGTATTACAATAATGTTTATATCAATGTATACAGTGTAGAGTGTATTACAATAATGTTTATATCAATGTATACAGTGTAGAGTGTATTACAATAATGTTTATATCAATGTATACAGTGTAGAGTGTATTACAATAATGTTTATATCAATGTATACAGTGTAGAGTGTATTACAATAATGTTTATATCAATGTATACAGTGTAGAGTGTATTACAATAATGTTTATATCAATGTATACAGTGTAGAGTGTATTACAATAATGTTTATATCAATGTATACAGTGTAGAGTGTATTACAATAATGTTTATATCAATGTATACAGTGTAGAGTGTATTACAATAATGTCTATATCAATGTATACAGTGTAGAGTGTATTACAATAATGTTTATATCAATGTATACAGTGTAGATTGTATTACAATGTTTTTTATATCAGTGTATACAGTGTAGATTGTATTACGATAATGTTTATATCAATGTATACAGTGTAGAGTCTATTACAACAATGTTTATATCAATGTTATACAGTGTAGATTGTATTACAATTTTTTTATATCAGTGTATACAGTGTAGATTGTATTACAATAATGTTTATATCAATGTATACAGTGTAGAGTGTATTACATTAATGTTTATATCAATGTTACACAGTGTAGATTGTATTACAAAAATGTTTATATCAGTGTATACAGTGTAGAGTGTATTACAATAATGTTTATATCAGATTATACCGTGTAGAGTGTATTACAATAATGTTTATATCAATGAAAAGAGTGAAGATTGTATTACAATAATGTTTATATCAGTGTATACAGTGTAGAGTGTATTACAATAATGTCTATATCAGTGTATACAGTGTAGACTGTATTACAATAATGTTTATATCAGTGTATACAGTGTAGAGTGTATTACAATAATGTTTATATCAGTGTATACAGTGTAGATTGTATTACAATAATGTTTATATCAGTGTATACAGTGTAGAGTGTATTACGATAATGTCTATATCAGTGTATACAGTGTAGACTGTATTACAATAATGTTTATATCAGTGTATACAGTGTAGATTGTATTACAATTTTTTTATATCAGTGTATACAGTGTAGATTGTATTACGATAATGTTTATATCAATGTATACAGTGAAGAGTGTATTACAATAATGATTATATCAATGTATACAGTGTAGAGTGTATTACAATAATGTTTATATCAATGTTTACAGTGTAGAGTGTATTGCAATAATGTTTATATCAATGTATACAGTGAAGAGTGTATTACAATAATGTTTATATCAATGTATACAGTGTAGAGTGTATTACAATAATGTTTATATCAATGTATACAGTGTAGAGTGTATTGCAATAATTTTTATATCAATGTATACAGTGTAGAGTGTATTACAATAATGTTTATATCAATGTATACAGTGTAGAGTTATTACAATAATGTTTATATCAATGTATGCAGTGTAGAGTGTATTACGATAATGTATATAGCATTGTATACAGTTTAGAGTGTACTACTCACCTGCGCATACAGTGTTACCATTGGTCAGTTTTACACATGTATGGTATTCCGGACACGTGGTTTTCTGACAGTCCCCTGCCTGGTTTATATAATATTAAACATTACTTAACACAAAATTTAATATTTTCGATACATCAATCATTCTGAATGCATTTATATTTTAACATTTGTATTTCTTGTTTCTTTTTAATATATAGTAGTTTATATATATTTTTAGTTTTATATACGGCCCTCGCCGTATCACACCCCAAAACTCGTATCAGCCCCCGCCGTATCACACCCCAAAACCCGTATCAGCCCGCAAAACCCATATTACAACCCTTTTGGATTTTTTTTCGTTATTCCATATTCCAAATATAAAAATAAATCAGAAGGTAGTAGTTTTTATTAGTAAGTATGTAATAAACAGAATAAAACACGCCTTTTTCCATATCACACCCAATATCATCCTCGACCAATATCAACCCTTGGGCTGATATTGCAGTCTTTGGTTGATACTGGGTGTGATATGGAAAAAGGCATGTATTATTCTCTATTTATTACATACTTACTAATAAATACAAGTTTTTTGATATATGCGATACGACACAATTGCTCTTACCCATATCAGCCCTCGCAGTATCACATCCCAAAAGCCATATCAGCCCCCGCCGTATCACACCCCAAAACCCGTATCAGCCCGCAAAACCCGTATCACACTCCTTTTGGAAATTTTCGTTTTTCAATATTTCAAAAGAAAAATATATCATAATATAGTAGCTTTTATTAGTAAGTATGTAATTAACAGAATAAAGCATGCCTTTTTCCATATCACACCCGGTATAAACCCTCGACCAATATCAGCCCTCGGGCCTTCGGCCCTTGGGCTGATATTGCAGTCTCGGGTTGATACTGGGTGTGATATGGGAAAAGGCATGTATTATTCTCTATATATCATTAGGAATTAAGAAACATTTACTCTTTAAACAAAATTTTAAAAAAAATAAAAAATATTCCCGAGTTTTAACTTACAGGTGGTGTGGGATACGTTGTGTCGTTCATGTCTTTGAAGGTGTTACCGTCCCTGTCCGACATAGATCCAGCAGTGTCCGTAGTCTCAGTGTTAAGTTCACAGTCCAGACGAGATCGGTGGTAGTTAATGCTCTGACATTCCCGCTGTACCAGACACAAGGTCACGCACTGCTGATATCCACATGGAGTAACTGTCATGTAGCCGAAGCCTCCCAGGTACTTATTGTGGAATGTATCCGTTCTGGCATCTTCACAGTTTTGAGAAGTGCCATACACACCTAAATAAAAAATAAAAAATAGAATTTGCCATACAGATTTTGATTTAAAAACAATATATTTGATACCTCCAATCATAATGTGTTTTTAAGGATAAATAATGTTTTGAAATGCTTAAGACATACTTTTCGTAACACATTTTATATCAAGTTATTTAATCCTGACAATGCTGTAGAAAATCGTTTGTTTGGGGTTTAGCGTCAACATAACAGTTAGTTACATGTAGTTATTTAGCGGTCCAGCAACTGTCGCGTTACAGTCCAGACAACACTAATAGGGTACACATATGGACCTAAAGTTAATCACCAAATTGAAATTGAAGGTTTAAAGATTGAAAGCATCACACGCAAGTACACAGGAAACAGAAAGTAGGGAAAAAAAGGAACAGACGGATTTCAACTGTTGCGGATCAATAAGCGTCTCTTCAATGTCATCTTGGTTACACACACAAAAGACAATGAAAACCCCGTTTCTACAACGGGACACATACATCTCTGTTAACGACATGCAGTGGAATACAGCAGGTCTGTTTCCCCTTAATATGCACAGCGTTGATGTAGATGGGTGTAACAGTAAAGATATGCAAATAATATGTCAATCAAATCACACGAACAACTGTTGAGCTATGCTGTATGTTTACATGGATAAAAGTTACATATATTATTCGTTAAGTTTACCTTCATATATATAGTTAAATCTGGTCGTTAAGAGTTTTATATTAAAGATACTAGACTTGCCATGTTTAACTTCATATCGTACAATTGATTATCTTACTTCCATTGAGTTATTTCCTTGTCTTGTTGGTGTAAGGCAAGGCGAAAATCCTTCCCCTTTTTATTTTCTATATACCTTAATGACATGGAAGACTTTTTTAGAGCCAATAGTTTACTCCCCTTAGAACAGTTGAAAGATAAATTTCAGACTGAGCTGAATATGTTTGTGGATCTTTTTGTCCTGTTATACGCTGACGATACAATTCTTCTTTCTGATTCTGCTGAAGGTTTGCAAAATGCTCTTAACGTTTTTCAGAAATACTGTGATTAATGGAAATTAGAAGTTAATGTGAAGAAAACAAAAATACTTGTATTCTGTAAACGCAAATCTAATAATAACCATGTATTTAGAATAAAAAGTAAAGTTATAGAAGAAGGGGACAATTTCAGCTATCTTGGTGTGACTTTTAATTACAATGGTAGCTTTTTGAAATGTAAACGAAAGCTTTGTGAGCAAGCCCAAAAATCCATTTTTTCTGTGTATCGTAATATAAAAAATCAACATCTTCCAATAGACTTTCAACTTAAATGATTTCATACCCTAGTTAGTCCTATATTGTTATATGGATCTGAAATATGGGGTTACGAAAATATCAAAATAGTAGAACAAACTCATTTGAAATTTTGCAGACGAATTTTGGGCCTGAGAACTTCGACTCCAAACTTTATGATATCTGGTGAATTAGGTCAATATCCTCTTGAGATAGCTGTTAAGTTGAGAATGATGACTTTTTATAACTCACTCTTAACGAATACCTCTAAACTTAGTTGCCATATGTATAGGTTAAAGTTCAAACTTTAAGCCAATAATTTGTGTAAGTTTAAATGGTTAGAATATATAAAAATATGTTTTGATGAAGTCGGACAAAGTTCTATTTTTATAAAACAGGAACCTATTAGTAAATATAATATTAAAAACACTGTCAAACACATTTTTATTGATCAATTTTTACAAAGATGGCATGCAAACATTCAAAATTCATCACGAGGTGAACTCTATGGTAATTATAAGAAGAAACATGTACTTGAGCCTTATTTGACTCGCTTTCCGAAAAAAACAGATCAATATAATGCAAATTTAGATGTTCTAATATGAAATTTCCCATTGAAACGGGTAGGTGGCATAATATCCAAAAACAAAACCGAACATGCACTCTATGTAAAAATGAGATAGGCGACGAATTTCACTATTTATTCAAATGTACAAATTTAATAATTGTAGAGCTTAGAGAAAAATATTTTCCTCTGTATTATAGAAAAAATCTGTCTCAAATTAAAATGAGTGGTCTGTTGTCAATTCGTAACACAACAGTATTAAATGGAATTTGTCTTTTGTTGGAAAAAAATAACAAACTGCTGTAATATGTATCATGATTACTGTTTTGTGAACTTGCCATCCATGTTGTCATCACATGTGTATCATTATACTCTGATACGTGATGTTGTACATTTTAATGTATCTGAGGAAAACCAATAAACTTGTAAAACTTGTAAACTTCCGGGCATCATGACAAAACAGGAAACTATTGAACTTCAAAACAATTTAACGTCCCTTTCTTTAGTATATAACATACTTACATCCCTGGTTTTGCAGTGAGTTTGATACCAGAATGCATGTATCCGGATATTGTGGATGAACGCTTCTTGAATTACAAATCAACTGCATAATTACACATTTGCGCACAATTGAATGTAAGAAACATGTGACCGAACAGCCTACATTTTACAACTCATAGGTTTTTTTATTTATTTTTTTTCGTCGGTTTTTATGTTGAGCTTTATTTGGACTTTTGATTTTTTTTAATTCCTGTGTACATGTTCCTCAATATGATTATAACCACTGATTAAAGTGGTGTACACATTTGAACGTGCCAAGCCTAGATTTCAGGGCCAGTTATTCAAAAGATGATTAGCTTAATTGAAACAACGGCGACATTTCCTGTATTCTACGTGAGGTTTCCTTCTGATGTTCCAGCAATAGTCTGTATTTGTTTAAGTTGATTACATATCAACGTATTTTTTTTAGAAATCTTCATTTGTGGTATTTATGGAAATAACGAATGTGTCTGACACTGCATATTTTTTTAAAACCCGATACCAGCTTGAAAACTTGAAATAGCTTGACGTTTATTCGCCTGTGTATTGTACATTTCCACTTGATGTACCAGACCTATCCATACTGAAACGTCAGCTTCAGATAGGTGTTGTCTCCTGATTATATACGTAAACACTTTGTGTATATCACGTCAAGAGAAATAACTGCATGCTATCCACTTAACGTCCTTATGAAAAACCTATAGGGCACTTTTTATCAAGATCGATTAATCGAATACGCACTTATCTCAACGCTGGTTATATATACAAGTAATATGGACGAGAAAGAAACTAAAGTACGGATGTATCAAACATTCCAGACGTTACACTGAGAATCACTTAAGAGCGAAAAAATCAATTCTACGACTTAATCTACCTTATTATACCAGTAAACTTCAATTAGCATTGAATTTTACAAAACACAATCTAAATCATAAATTCATGACCGAACTTAATGACGTACCAGCTAAATAATCTATGAATGGCTAACTTAATGATGTACAATCTAAATCATATTTGCAT